ATTGATAGAAGTGAACGGTAAGATAGTTTTAAACAAAAGTCGAGATGATCTCAACAGACTTCTAGCGGCCGCACCAGATCCCGCTCAGATAGTTATCCTCAGAAAAGTTCCTGAAAACGAACTCGCAATTAGTTCGAATGGTAGCTCAATTGAAATCAGCTGTCTGCGAAACGAGTTAGAGTCTTTTCGAGAGAGGGCAGAAGAAACGCAGAAGGCAAAGGAAGGGCTGAAGTCTGATAATATAAGATTAACACATAGAATTTCTTATTTAGAAGAACAGGTGGGTTTATCTTTAAACTTTATTATATTCGAACAGTTATGTGTAAGAAGTAATGTCTCGTTATTGAGGGACACTAATCTAAATTTAAATGCTTTTTCCTCACACTGTAGCTCTAATTGAGTTAATTCGTCATATGACCTTTTCTTTGATGTAGTTACTACCTCCCATATTGTACCTATATACATTTTAATGCCGATTTTAAATTTTCGTATTTTTTTTTTCAGGTTTCAGAACTGCTTAATCGCAAATCTACCGAGAAAAATGCAAAAAAACTTCCTCCAACCTCAATGATCTCCAAATCCACCCAAAACGTAACTAATATAAACATAAGAACAGATTCTTCAACAAAAACTTCTAGTACAAACCCAGATCATCAAATATTCCAAAAAGGCAATCATATCAGCGCAATTACATCAGATAAAGAACAAATTTGTGTTCCCACTAGATCTAAAAGTAGCCTTTCTAATGTTTCGAATACCATTATTTCTTCTTTAAATGGCGATTACTGTAATAAGTTACATAGTAGACATAAACATAAATCGTCAAGAAACGGTGTACAAAGTCCCACAGGTCATGATTCATCGAACGAAAAAATGTCTTATAGAAAACACGCACACCATCATCACCATCATCATAGAGAGAAAGATTACAGTTCTGAAACAAATTCTGGAGTAGATATAAGACGATATAACAAGAATACGGAACCAGCCAGATACTCAACAGACTTTGCAAAAGCAAACTCTGAAAAAGAGTATGCAAGTGATATTATGGACCAAAGTTACAAAAAGGCTACACAGATAGTGCACGATCTTACTCGAAGTAGGGATTCTACTTTATATGAAAAACATCGCCAAAAATGTCTAACAGCATCTGAAAAATACAATACTGATATTTTAAAGCATTACAATGCAAGAAAGTCCACTTCAGTGTTAGATTTTAGATCTGAAATTCATATTGGACCAAAATACGATTCGAAAAGTGTCGAACATATAGACGACAATGAAATTTGTACTAACGGTAATGTTTATCGAAGAATAGTTGATGCCAGAAGTGTCAAATCTCTTGATTTCGACAGTGATTGTAACTCTATTAGACCAAATGGAACTTCTAGTAATGTAGATTATACATCGGAGCCTAATACTGACAAAAAATTGTACTATACAAATGGTTACGAACAAATGAAGCCCAGGCCGACACCTCCCAAAAAGCCTTTAAGGTTATCTTTACACAAAACCCATAGTTTACAGTCTGTCGAAACTAATTCAGACTGTCAAAGTAGAAATGAAAGAAAGTGCATGAAAAGAAACTATAAGGGAGAAAATCCTCTTGTTTTGAAACCTCTTGATAAAAGTAGCAGTAATTATCAGATGAAGTGGAATTACAGGAAAAGTTTTGATAATACGCTAGAAAATGGAAGTTGGTGTTAATATAGTGGAAGAACTATATATACATTTGGTATATAAAAGGGCATTTTATAAATATGAATGATCAATAGTTGGATCACAGGCTTAGTGCCTCAAAATATTATTAATTTGCTAAATAATACTAACTAGTTGGATACTCTATATTATCTTAATGTACATATTTCCACAACTAATGTTAGTAATATTTTAGCAAATAAAGAAATAACACAGTCCCTAAAATTAATCAGTAATTTTACTAAAATCGAAAAATTGTGGATGCAAAAAAAGTGATTTTCAATTTTTTTATAACTTGATATTCTTATAATGAGAAAAGCAAGGGTAATTCTAATAAAAAATGTATAGTGATCCGTTTAAAAAATATAAGTTTGTACCAGTTCGAAGTTATTGAACATATTTGAAAATAATTTTAAAGTTTAACGTCGTTTACCATTCTGTATATTAGCTATTTATGTAACCAGTTACTAAATGCCTCGTTTTGTGAGTGAATATTTTCGGGGCGAGCGGAGCGAGGTCCCGCAAAATTAACAAATCATACAAATCGAATTTTGCAACGTGTTACAAGATTTAACCAATATTTTTTATACTTTTTTTCCTACTTTATCGGCAATGGACGTTAGTCCTCCAGCCACATACAAATTGAAACGTATTACGTTTAAATATTAGACATCAATATTATTTTTACTTATATAATCTACCAATAAATCGTACACAGATTGATTTCCAGTCGCACACCTTAATTTTTTTTTATACTTGTAATCAAAGATTTTAGAAAACGAATATTTGGGCACAATTGGTGGGGAAGAAATGTCGCGTATTAAAGATACAGTAGACTTTTTCACATTTAGTAGATATATGTTTAACCAAAATTATTAAAAATATATCTTCAACACCCTACTATTGTGTAACAGCTGACTGACCCAATGTTATTTAAGAAAATATTTTGAAACACTTAAAACTGTGATTCAAATGGTGACCATTCTTTATAAACCATGTAAGTTCACAAATTGATGATTTTCTGTAGAGAGTGTAAAATGCTAAATATTAATGAAGGTTTTATCGGTTGTTTTGTTTTACTGAACTAGAATAATGTATACGGAATTAAATGTACGAGGTAACAATTTCAAAACTTATCTGTCTCATTAATTAAAGATGGTTTGAGAAAATAGTTAAAACCTTTCCTACGATACGAAGGGAGAACCTAAATTACACAATATAGAACTCACCCCAATCAACCCCTAAGCGCCACTACCTCATTTTTAGAGCTGCACAAATATTTTATAGACGTTAAGGGACCCACGTTGATGTTAGGTGTGTTACCCACTAAAACTTTACCTTCTGCAAGACTAGCACTTCGACGAGACCGCCAGGTGGTATTACTTCGACAAAGTATCAGTGTCTTGTATGAATCCCTCTAGTTCTTTGATTTGTTTTTATTAGTTTTTGAATATTTTTTCATCATATTGGTAATTTTTAACCAGTTGTTCTCGAATCGAAGTAGTAGTTCTCCAATGTTTTACGATGTGAGCAAAATCTGATTGCTTCTTTCTATAGGTTAATCACCTGGAATGTACAAAAAATGTATGGTTAGGAATGTCCTCTTCGTCTTTACGGTATCAACTAAAGCAGTTATGTCTCTTCTATTCTCCCCAGCTAGCACAAAAACATCCCATCTACGTTAATAAGCTGCAATTTTAGGCTCTTTAAGCTCGCATGCAATGTACTGTAAATGTAACCCTTATCTCCCTGCAACTACCGAATGTCCGCAACGGCAAGACTTTTATAGCACATCTCACAGAAGTTACAAAGTGAAGTTCGAAAAACATCACACTAGCACTTTTACGGTACTTACCCCGAAAGTTGCTCTGAAACGTTCTATTGATGTTATAATGTAAATTAGATCTACAGCATTATACAGTGTGTCCACGGATGGGCTTAACTATACTTGTGAAAATATTTATTTTAAATTAAAAAAGTAATTCTTCATAATTTCTTGCTTGTTAAATAAATTCGATTCACATTGAGAAATTATGAAAAATAACTTTTTCTTTAATTTAAAATAAATATTTTTACAAGTATAATTAAGTCCATCCGTGGACATACATTGTGTAATGTAATACAGAGAGGCTGAAATTGAGGCTATAGTAAAATCTCAATCGAGACATGAAAATTTCAAATAAAACAAAATATTTATATAAATTTATTATTAAAATGTTCTTGAAATCAAGTACCAATAGCACAAAAGTAGAGGTAGGTGTAGGCGTGTTCTTTTATTCAGTGCTGTATCCAGCGCTTGCAGCAAACCGTTCGTAAATTAAGTGATGGAAAGACGATTGTATGTGTCAATCATTCTTTTTTCCAGCGGTGAGTTCACCAATGAGCCAAGGCATCCATCGGCTTTAAAAGCCGATGGATATGTGATAGACGAATGGTGAGGATAATCAATCATTTAAGTTAACCTAAAATATAAGAGTTCAAATATAAAACGACTGCAGAATAGATAAATTACATCAATCACTGATGGAACAATTATTGAATAAAAGAACACACCTTATATCACAAACACAAGTACACATGTGGGATAGAAGAAGCTACCTAAAAAGCACTGAACGATTGGACAAAATTAGCTAAATAGTATAATATGATACCAATATTGCAAAGGTTCACTAAAACCTTAAATGGTGAACGATGATAAAGCTAGATTGGTGAAAAATAATAAACGAATACAACAATGACTAGGTACATATTATTATATTAGATTACTAGAGGATAGCTAAGTTCGCTGATTTCTTACCTAAGACGCAGAGATATATCTTTTTTAAATCAAGCCTTTTAACTTTTTTTGCATAGATATTTATAAAGTGCTATAATGTAACCTAAATATGACAATTTATTAGAAGAGCATAAATTATATTTTTATATAAAAAGATTTTACTTCTCAATACATTGAATAAAAAAGAAATTGATAACTTGTTTACCTATTATTAATTAAAGGAAATTATATAGAAATTAAAAAATATGCCTTACTTTGTTGTTTTAAATAAAACAACCAATGTTTGTGTATTGAAATTTGTTTGAATTTTACAAATTTTATGCTTGATTTCCAAAGTAGATATATCGATGGCTCAATCAAAAACCGCCACAAGTCAAAAAACAAAGCAATTACATTTTTGGTTCAATGGATGCAAAATATCATTACGGTTTTACTTTAAATACCACCACAAACAAAAATATCCTTAAAGATAAATCATTTAAAATGTAGCCACAAACTGTGTCTAAAACTGCCTCAATTCGAGTTATTTTCTTCAAAAACACCCAAATTTTTTACAACTATGCAACAACTCACTTTTATAATCGTAATCATTTTATTTAACAGCAAAATATCGAAGCTTTTAAATAAAATATAAAGAGTATGTCAAAAACAAAATAATGATAATAGTATTTTAGTTGTGGCAGTATTTGATTGATATGTAGATTTTATAAAAAACAACTGGTGTTTTTTAGCAAGATATTCTATTATACTCGAGAGTATCATCTATGATTTCTCTCAACTTTTCTGCTGGGTTTTCACTTGAACTGATGGTTGCATTTCCAGGCAATCTAGCCTGTTGAAGAGAATGAACTGCTTGAATTCTGATATACCTGACATATCATGTACCTATAGATTTACTTTTTATAAAACTTCAGGTGTTATATTCTTCTTTACACTTCTGTAGTATTTACTTTTGCTTCTAAAATTCCTAGAATGTCGAAGGAAACCTAAAAAATAATATTTTTAAAATGTATTTTTAGTTCGATAAAGTATAATTACCTTTGGTGTAAAATGTTGCCGGACATTCGGTTAAATGTTTATCTTCTAGTTTACAACGATTGATCTGCAATTCTTTGTTTTTATTGTAGTTTTTTTTTATTTGGTGTCATCGGCATCGACTGCTAAAGATACTTAATGGATGAAATAATAAATTTACATTAGGCATTGTAATCTGAAACAAAGGCAATGGTTTAGAAAATAGTTATATATTTTATAGAGGACCCTTACCAAATCTATTGGAATGTATAAATAATAATTATTTATAATATAAATTCTGGATGTCGAAAAATAAACCATTAAAAAAGACAATTGACAAGAAAAACTGACAAGTGACAATTGTCATAAAACTAAACGTTCTGAATTCAGATTTGTAATGTTTACGGTAGGTTAACTAGGTAAATAACAAATAGAAGTTTTGCGAGGTTTTGATTTCCCTCAACAACTTCTCATGAACGTTGCATTTACGTTGTACAGTAATGTTATTACGTTCCCTTAATGCAACATCGCCCGAAAGGCTTGGCAACGTTATGTGCTAGCTGGGTCCTGTTCTCTTCAAATATGTTCCAAAAACAGCATTTCCGGTGAAAATTTATGTAATGTGGTGGTCAGCATCCCTTCCCATCTTCTTTTATACCGTTATTCTATATTTTTTATGAACACCACAGCTCATCCATTATGGCCGCTCCATGTTCTTTGCCATTTTTGATACACCTCGAGTTTAGCTGCTCTCTGGAGTCCTTTCCGTGTTTGTATACTTTTCTCTACGTAGTGTTATAGGTGGGATTAGCGCTATAGCAAGAATAATTATATTGTAGAGGCTGTTCTATAAGCGGACTTTATCTATTTTATTTTTATTGTTCATATCGAAACACCGTATAAGATTATGGATAATACGCGCTCATTTGTATTTGACAGAGTTATGGTTTTCTATGTTTATTTCTTTTATATTTACTGTGAGGCTTGTCAATTTTCTTCGGCCTGTCAGGATTATGAGTTTGATTTCTTTTGAGGCTATTTCAATTCTTTCGCCGAGAGCTAACGTAATTCTTGCTGCAGCGATTTCTGCTTTGATTTACAAACTTTCTTTAGTTTTTCCGAATACAACCAGAGCTAGATCGTCGTCTGCAATAAAACAATAGCAACCCTCTACTTGTCATAACATAATTGGAGGACTAGTAAAAATAGTTTTTACCGATATTAGTTATACTATAGATAGTACATAATATTAACTAAAAAGCTATTTAAAATGGCAAGTTTATCTGAAATAAATATTTTCATATATTTCTAGTCCAGAGTACAAAATAAATGGTTTTTAATAAGTTTTTCTCTTGCTTTACCCGTTTTATCATCTTTAGTTCATGTGATATATTAAAGTTTTTAAATTGTCAAATTCATCAAAATTATCTAATATTAACAACATTAAATAGCAAGAAAACAAATTTTCATCTAGTTTATTTTAAATATTTTGATACTATAATAAGAATATATTGTTTTGGTTGGTATTCGTGTTTGAAGTATCAAACTCGGACGTAAATTATTTAATGAACACCGGCCGTAAATTTTATGTTTTTTTTATTATTAATTATTATAATTGTAAAATTAAATTACCTTCTTAAAATTTGTCTTTACTTACTTCCTCTTATCAATAATTTTCGTTTGTATAGCTGATTAGTAAAAGCATTAAGTAAATTAGAAAGTAAAAAATAAATGAAAACTGTATTATATAATTAATGTAACATTTAGTTCAACTATTGCAATATAATTGTGTGACTGATAAGAAATTTATTTTTAAAGATATTTTATATATTTTTTTGTATATGTAAATAAAAAATATTTTCTACATTCGTTGTTCACTTATTTTACCAAATCTATAAATGCCTAGATTAAATATATTTTTATATCTCCAAGATGACCAAATAAAATAAAACTAAGTATAGATAAGCTTCAGCAAAAAAAAAAAAGATTCGTATGTATTAGAAATTCCAATTACCCATATAAATTGCTCAAAGCATTACGAGCGGCCCTATTACCTTGCAAGTGCTAATTAATCAGCATCGGTTTAGCAAAAATGTGTTTTAAAACTAAAACTAAACTATATAAAAAGAAAGTACTTATCTTTCTTGTTGGTATCGATAGCGCACAAAACAGGGGCCCAATTCCTGACGCCTTCGTTAACTTATCGCATGCGATAACGTATGCGACTTGAAAGTGTATTCCTGAACTGGCGGAATTCGTCAAATTTATTAACGTATGCGCTAAGAAATGGTGATTTTCAAAGAGCGCTCATGACCGTTCAACAACCACTTTGTCGCATTCGTTTAGGTGAAAGTAAGGTTATAATTGTCAATGAATCCTGCTTTATCATATGTGATTCGTGTTTCTATCTATTGGTTTTGTTTGGTGATTTATTATTGGGAAATATTTATTTTTAATTTGACTCTATTGAACATTTTATTAGAATATAAAAACGAAACTTTTTGTACCGTGACTCTTTTATTGGACGTTTAGGTGCCACTTTATTTTGGTTTATTTTATTTAGTATGGATGATATAGAAGAAATATGAGTTTTACAGGCACTAAACAATGTTATAAATTCTACTAAAGTTTCACGCAATTTTTCCGTTATTCGTGAACCACGCTGTTCCATTTTTAATATTCTAAATCTAAACCACTCCAATTCTCAAGTCCAAAATACAAATAATCACAGTTAAAACGTCTAAAAACCAAAAATTATTAGACATCCAATCCATTTAATTTTATAATTTTTGTCAATTTTGACATGTGTCAATGCAATTATCTCATATTCAGTGATACCATCTTTGGTATTCTCAATCCTCATTGGTTAAGACTATGCAATAATCAAAGACTCTTCGTTAACACGTTGGACTTGATTCGCGATTATCGCATGGTGTTCAGGAATACTAAATTGCTGTCGTATGCGTTAACGACCATGCGTTACTTAGCGCATGCGGCAGTTAACGCATGTTCCGAGAATTGGGCCCCAGAACACCTGTACACAGTTCGCCTGCTGATACACGACTCTAAATGGTTCTTCTTTTTCTTCCTTTTCTAGTTTGTTCTCTTGGAAATGCTTTCAGAAATTCTTGAAAATCTTTGGGTGAAATAAAGTTAGTTTCAGCTACTGTATATTTTTAGGAGGGGTTTTTTCAGTTAAACTTAGATCAGGGGGAATATTTTCATTATTTTCACTTCTTCCTCAGATAACGTTAAATCAGTCTTGTGGGATGGACCGGGTTGATTTACTTATATTCAGTAACAAACGAAGTTAAGAAGTTGGCGTCCTTAAACAAATCTGGATCACACGGACGAATAACAGACTTATGTAATCCCGCCATTATATTACTTGGTGTAAAAGATTTTTGTTGTGCTTCTGCAATTCGCTCTGCTGTATCGTAAATGG